TGTGTATTTGCCAGGAGAATTTTCACAAGTGTGTTAAGTAAATGACAAGCCTCTCAAATATAACTCTTGATTCTAAGAAGCTATTTATGGCAGAATGCCAGAGCTTGCATAATGCTACTGAAGAACTGCACTAAAAGACAGAATTTTGAGATCATTCAGAGTCATTGGTGAATGTTTAAAAAAGGCAAAGGTTTCAGAAAGGTTTTTATTGAGACTTGTGCTTCTTTATGAAGCCTCCTTATTGCTATGAAACATAAAAATATACAACTCAGTGGTAAGTGGAGGTTCTGAAGGAACAAAGAGAGGTTCCAAAGCCAAATGAAGAATATGGTTGAAAGGAGAGGGATGTCACAGACATTTAAAAATATTGTTGAAAACAAAATTAAATAAATCTAATGTTTAGGGCAACAAGCAGTGACCCCCAGATCAAGAGCTTGCAGATACTCAGGTGATTCCAGAGCCATGTGGCGCTGTCTCCAGCTCATGTTTGCTCGGTCTCTCTGATCCATGGGAAGGTGATGCAGGCAGAATTGCCCCACCAGGGACAACTTGGGAATTTAGTGTTTTCATCCCTGCTCTGCTCGGAGACAGGGCCCACATGTCTACATTCTTGCTCACCCTTGTACAACCCCAGTCACATCCTTCCAGTGACCTTGAGAATCACTACCAGTGACCTTAAGGTACTACCTGGGAATGAAAAAGTATCTATGACAGAAAATCATTATGTTTGTGGCTATAAAATATGTCCTGGGTCCCCTGGTATGGGCAGATGCCACTCAGCAAATTGGAGCTGGAGAAAGAATGTGTTTCAATACCTCAGACTTTTCAAAAACTCTGAGAATTATCTCCTGGAAAGAAGAGTCTAGACTAGGTTGGGAGATTAGGATCAGAGGCAAGGTCATTTGAAGGTTAAGTCAGCTCTTCATTTGCCCCACCACAGAAGGAGGTGATGGAATAGACAGTTCAGCAAATCAGAATTCAGAACATCAAAGAGAAAAGAGGCCTGAGAACTTGCTTAGCTCACCTGCTTTCCTTTCTGATTAGCAATCCCGGTTCAGAAAACAAATCTAAAAAGTGCCTATTATCAGACACACTGTTATTTTATGTATCATTAAGAACAGAGACAAAAGGCTTCTCATAAACTATAATCTATGGTGTTGTGAGTTGCATCTTAGTTCCAAGGGGTGGTGGATGTAAAAACAAAGATTAAAAAAAAAAAGAAAAGAAGAAGAAGAAAAAAGAAAAGATGAAAAGAACGAACAGGCTTAGAATTGATGAGCTATACGCTATCATAAGCAATTTGCCCCCAAATGCTCATTACTCAGTTGTTAGGTCTCTTTTTGTATCCCACTACTATGCAGTTTTATTTCACAGGTGAGAAACCTGAAGTCCAGCAGTTGGATGACTTACTCCAATTCACACAGCTAATAATTAGGATCAGAGCCAGGGATCGGATGAGGCCCCTGCCTTCTGTGAGCTGGCTCCCACAACTCTATATGGCCTCTCACTCCAAGGGATTTATCTCTGGCTCTGAAAAACAGAACGAAATTAGTCTGTGGAACATTTGCCTCCTGATTAGGTTTTGCTTAGGATAACATAAAAATTAAATTGCTGCTCTGCACACACGCAGGCAGGTTGGAAGCTGCTTGGGTAGCTGTCTGCCAATCTGAGATCTAGCATCTTTAGATTGGAAATGTGCTCAGTAAAACATATAAAGTAGGCAATCCACGAGCCAGGCAGTGGGATAGCTTTGTCATGGTTGGATTTAATGTTTTACTAGCTCTACACCTACTGGAATGTGGGACGGGATGAAGATGATCTTATTTTTCCCATAAGCCTGGCCTTTCTTTCTACCACATAGCAAGAACTTTAAGATTCCTCAACAACTCCTAAGCCACTGCTGAAATGGTGGAAGTCTGCCATGCTCAGAACTATGTCCCTTAATGGCTGACACGAGTCCCGGTTGGCCCAGAAACCCCTCAGACTTGAGAAGAGGGACAGAGCCACACAAAGGGCAGTTCCCTCTATAGTCCTTCCTCTGTCCAGGGTGGCATCGAGTCACAAGTTATGCTTGGAAGGGAATGATCTAGAATGTCTCATCTGGCTGAGGTCCCAGAAAATTCCAGATAAAGTATCTTTCCTGTTCACACATTATCACTTCAAAGTCTAGCTTGGGAGGTATGACCTCTAACTCTTCATATGGAATATACTTACTTAAACTCAGAGCAGTAGCATACATGCGTAGAAACATTGTCACTGCCTACTCCGCTATGCTGCTCATCTGGCTATAAATTGCCTTTATTTTTTCTGAATGAGCCCTTGACTTTGACAACAACTAAGGTGGCCCCCAGACTCACTGGGCCCCTGTGAGGAGGCCTGGCAGCTCAGCTGACCTTAAAATGAGAGTGCTCTGCACATCCATTTTTATTATCTCAAAAACAGAAGCAAACAACACTCTTGCTGCTCCTGGGCTACTTTATTGCGGCCTGCTGGCTGATAACAAGCTACTGAAGGGCAACCAAAGGAGAAGGAGTTGCCACGTTGCCCATGCTGGGACAGGAACAAAGGCATCCACCTTTTCATGAGGGATTCGGTTCCATCACGCTGCCACTTAGTGTTTTGACCTTTCTTTTCTTTGCCTTCCTTGTGAAAAAAGGACAGCCTCAGAACTGTGTCCAGACCAGTGCTTGAGAAACACCTCATTCCTCTGGAGACACTGTTTCTGCAGCAGGATGGCACTTGAGCCCTCATGATGAAACATGAGGACATGCCTCCTCTCTGTTTCCTCTGGCTGTAGAGGGCCACCACGTGAGTCTGCATAGCAGGACACACATGCTAGCATTGAGAAAGAGGGAGGGCAACTGCACCCACATTGGGTGTTTGCTTGCCTGCAACTTGCAGGTTACAACATTCTCAGTGCTGCGCTGTATGCCTGGTATTTAAGTCCGTTCTTACATGTTAAGTAGGAGTTCAGGTTTGTTCTTTCCCTCTGTGTGCCTGCAAACCCTCCTTAAACACCAGCAACCAGGAGGGGTTCTCGGATCCCCCAACACCACTGCCAGGGTCCTGTGAGCTTGGCTCCTAGGAAACTTCTAAAAGGGACAGAGAGCAGCAGGAGGACCCCAGTGGCTCCTCCTCACTCATCATTAGGAGAAGCCCTTCATTCTCACCATGATCTGTACTCACCATAGCCAACCACAAGGAGTGACTGGCCACCAAGCATGCTTACCTGCCTGCCTATATTCAGCCCAGAATGGTTTTCTGTCTGAAAGGTTGTTTCTATTTTTGAACATGAACCACTTTGGCAAACCAGCAGCCCATAATCTATTATTGTCTTTCAAAGCATTTCTTCAGTGTGGGAACATACCACAATTCTCAGAATGACTAGAAATAAAAAATCGTATAGATTTGCCTGTATTTTTAGAATTCTGTATTGATAGCTTCGCCAAATCAAGCTTCATTTAATTTTTTCCCAAAGAAATTATACCATGTATTTTTCTACTTTTGGGTAATGAGGAAACAGAAGTAAATGATTAAGAAGGAAATGTTCCTCCTTCTAGAACAAACCAATGAATAAATAAACAAGATGATTACTGACCAAAGAAAACACAATAGACAACTGAGCCAAACTTCTTTTTCTGCAGTCAATAGGATCATGTCAGGGGATCATGGCTAATTTCACAGTTAATTTCTGTTTCAATTAATTCACAAGCTAGCATTATATTTTCTTCCTCTTCAAACTTTTATGAACACCAACAAATAATCTGGGTGTGGTCTATAAACATATCAAATTTTATTTGAAGTTAAGATGGCATAGAATTCAGGAAAGGCTAAGGACTTATTATTAAATTCATCACCCACACAAAGGTAAGACTTAAAACCAGAATAAATCAACTTTCTTATTTCCTGACCTGTATAAACTCAATTATCTAGACCTGATATTTTAGTAATCTAATTTTCAAATGATACAATGTTCTTTTCTCTTAATTTTGTCTTGAGACAAATGTTTATAATTTTATTTGCTGTGGTTGGGGGAAAGCAAAGTTCAATGTCTAATTTCTCTGATATATTTAGATCTCTTTTCCACTGCTTTCCAGGAGACAAATAGAGAAACAGAAATGGGATCAAATTCTATAAATAAATTATAGTTGGCTTGTCCTTAAATATTATAAACTGCTGAAGTGAAATGAAGTCATAGACATACATTAATTTTATTTTGAAAGCTGGCTAAGAGATGGTGTTAAAATTAAAGAGCTTTGTAAGGAGAAAAATGAAAGGAGGGGAGAAAACCTATAGTACTTCAGAAATAATGAAACACCTATATTTTCTTGACAGTCTCTTCCAAGACAACAGAATTCTGTGTTTGGGGCTTTATCCTCTTAAGTAATTCACCAAAGCACTGGGGTAGTGGCTGACAATCTGTCCATATGTTGCTTGTTAATAATGGTTACATTTTGCCTGATATTCTGGCCACAGTTTCACCTTCTCCTTCTCCATATATTAAAGTAGCCCCTAGGGAAAAATCACAAGTTAAATAACAGTAGAACAAGAAGACCTCACAGGTAGACATGTATTTGGTTGGATTTTAAGACCTTCTTTCATGTCCCTTCAGAATATTTATGAAGTTGGAAGAGTCAGACTGTGTTAGAGTATGAATTTTTTTTTTGAACTGAAACCGAGAGAGAGAGAGAGAGAGAGAGAGAGAGAGAGAGAGGTGTGTGTGTGTGGGAGGGGAGAACCACCTTCAAATTTGATTTTTCAGCAGCCAATGTCAACCTATGCTGGCCTGCTGGCCCTCCCTAACAAGCCTTAATGCTCCTGGTGATACAATCCATCTCTTTGCAGACAGGATCCTAGGGTATCTCCACAGCCAAAGCTAGGCTCAGAAATGGGGCTATTATGCACATGCTTTTAGGTCAGAATACAGGGTGAAATCAAGACTGGTTCTGTTTGGAATTGCCTGACTGTTCTCATTTAATCTTTTTGGCTTTGCATGGCAGGCACTGCTCCAGGAATTACCCAAATGACAAACAACCCATGACATTCTGCCCCAAGAGAAATGCAAAGCAGAGACTGAATTGATCAATTTTTTTTAAGCTCTCCACACCTGGATATGTTAATTTGAATGGATGTATTAGACTGGCATAGAAGAAAATCAAAGTCCTCCTGTTGTTTATCTTCTTTACCTAAAGTGGCAGATTTATGAAGAATTTGTTTGTACTAAATATAAAATTCTTACATCTAAGAAAGCATCTTTGGACTAGAAATATCAGCATCTTTCAAGGCTTTTGGCCCCAGGAGAGGACTACTTGGGGGATGCTAGGTACCAAGTCATCTGCAAAATCATATGCCTAATCCCAAAGTTTGCCGCCTCCAGGCCCCCAAACCAATCATTTTGGGAGGAAATTGACCAACCCTACAATCCCAATAGCCAAGATCTAGACTCTGGATGTGAAGTCACAGGTGGAATCTGCTTCCAGGCTGTATCATGCCAAGACTACGATTGCAACTAAATCATATGGAGAGGAGTCAAGCTATCAGGTAAATGCTGGTAGGCGCCACTCAAATTGGAGTCAGAGGGTATTAATGTGACTGACCATGAAATAGACTGTCTCTTCCACCCAAATTTAGTCAGGCTTCTCTCAGCCATCTTCTCAACTAGGCCTCTGCCTGGGGCCCTGTCCTGCTTGGCTCAAGTCTTATCATGAATTCTCCTAAGTCAGTTTAGTGAGAATCCCTCTCAAGTTTTTCTAGCAAATCGCACTCACCTCCTCTCCCCACCACCAGCTCCCTTTGCTGTGTAAGTCATTGGACTGCCTTGAAGAAAAATTCTGTTAAGTTGATTTGGCAAGAATCTTCCTAATCTTGATGTCAGCTCTCAGTGATTTTTCCATCCACCAACACACATATTGACTATAAATCCCCACTTTTCCTTATTGCTGTATCCAGAGTTACGCTTGCTCTTTTCCCTATTATGGTTACCTTGACACAATTGCAATAATCCTGAATAAAGTCTTCCTAATCATTTTAACAAATGTCAGAACAGCTCTATCTTTAACAATTATGACCTTGCTACAATAGCAAAGGTTCAAGGCACTTTGGTGACAATAAATGTCATTATCCACTAGCAGGGACCTTAATTTAAAATGTAAGCTATTTTTAAACTTTGATTATTTATTTTACTTATTTCTGCTACTAGTTTAACCAGGGGCCACATTGACTATTTAAAACTACTATGAGTTTTAAGGTTTTATTTATTTTATTGATATTGGGAATTGAACTCAGGAGTGCTTAACTACTGAACTATATCTCTAGAACTTTTTTATTTTTTAATTTTGAAATAGGGTCTTGCTAAACATCTTAGGACCTCACTAAATTTCTGAGGCTAGCCTTGAACTTGCACCCCTCTTGCCTCAGCCTCCCGAGTCTCTGGGATTGCAGTATGTGCCAGTATGCCTGGCTAAGTTTTGACCTATAAATGATCTATTTCTTTTGGAATAATCTTATATCTACAGAGAAGTTATAGCTATAATACAGAGAGTTACTGTTTTTTTCTCCATTGTTAATACCTTATTTTTCTCAAAACTAAAAAAAAAAAGTGGATTTTATTTGGACTTCATTAATTTTTCAACTATTCTCTTTCTGTTCTAAGATTCAATCTAGGTACCACATTGCATTCATCTGTCATGCCAGTCTCCTCTGGTCTGTGACAATTTTCTAATTTTTCCTTGTTTTTATCACTTGACAGTCCTGAGAATACTGGGAGGTATCTAGGAGAATGTCACCCAATATGGGATAGTTTGATGTCCTCTTAATTCGACTGGGTGTATAGTTTTTGGAAAGAACACTGTGGAAGTGCAGGGACCTTCTTATCACATGATCATGTTTCCGTGGTGACTTGTGATTGTTGTGCACATTGCAAATGTGGCAGACTTTGCTCACTAATCTCAGAGGCATGACTCCTCATATCCCATCACTGTCCAAAGTGAAACCCAGTACCCAAGGCATTAGGGAGGAATTTTACCAATAATTTCATGGTGGAAGGGAGGGGAGGGGAAGGAGGAAACAGTTACATTGCATGTATTATAACACAGATTAATGGAATTTCCTGTTAAAAGTTATTTCCCCTTTAAAAAAAAAAATCAGCCCTTGTATTCTCCACTCGCCTAGCTTCTAAAATCCACCATCTCCAAACCACAGGCACCTCATTACCTAACCTCCCAACTCTTTCTTGCACCTGCACAACAATTATCCAGTTCAAAAAGGCCCTTCTAAAATCATCTACCCAGAAGGCACATAGGGACAGTAAACAAGAAATATTCTTTCAATCATAAAAAAACTTATTTATTTAACATAAAGTGAGGTTTATTTTTTAAAAAAGTTTTGTACCCACAATATGTTAGTGAGAAGTGACTCTGAGATGGTGTCCACTCATCCAAAATGAACTAGAGGGTTGAGGCCAATTGTTTTTCTCCTAGTTTCTGAGTAGTGGAATTGGTAAGAGCTTACTTTGTCCAAATGTTTAGCATTGTACATTCTTTTTTTTTTTTTTTTAATAGACACATTTGTTAAGTGTAGGTAATCACAAATTCACTAATAACTTTGCTTTAGCTGTTTGCCACTTATTCCTTATCTGTGTGTCCTAAGTTGTCTTTAGTCAAGACCACCCCTAGACTTCTCAGAGAAGTAGAGTTAACCTAGAATTCTCAGAAGAAAAGCCAAGGTATTCATTCACTCACTCAACTAAAAATAATTCCTTGTATTTAGCTCTAAGTAGCTAGTTTCTGCCCATTAATAGTTATTCTCTTATTGAATTATATTTTAATTGAACCAGTATTTACTAAGTTCTACTAAGTATCTGGGACTGAACAAGATCCTAGGGATAGGGTAGTAAATGAAACAGACCCAATCTCTACTCTCATAGAATCTGTAGTCTAAGTAGGAGATAGATGGATACTAAACACTGAATTATAAAGTATCATCACCCACTGTGATGAAAGTCATAAAGAAAACATGAAAGAAGAATTCAGTGAGTCTATTTGTGTGTGTGTGTGTGTGTGTGTGTGTGTGTGTTTTGTGGGGTAGGAGGAAACTGATTTTCTTGAGTGGGGTTAGGGAATACTTATCCCAGGAACAATATTTGCAAGAGACCTGAAGAATAAATAACAGCTTAACTAGCCAACAAAGAAAGTGAAAGCAAGGCCTCCTTGAATATTCTGGGAACAATAGACCACAGCAGGTTTGGTGTGGAGAGACTGAAGTGACCTCAGCAATTATGCAGGGCCAGGTTAATATCAAGTTCAAGATGGTGAATGTCGTCCTTCATGCAGGGCACAGTGGGAAGTGTTCAGGAAAGCAAAAGTTAAGTACTTCCTTGATGTCATAGAATAGTGCTGTTTGTACTATGAACAAAATGCTAACTGACTTGTCCCTACTTCCCCTAGCCACCAATCCTTGCTCCTTCTACACCAATACCTCTGTTGAGGAAAGGAGGGGAATGAGGCAGCAAATCTGAAGTACCTACTCAAAGTCCCTGACACCACCTGCCACATCTTAACTAGGGTCTTTTGCAACTAACGGTTGAGATTTCTATCTGCAGAAGGAAACAAATACATTTATGTAGATTAGATACAACAATAGTGCCATCAGCACCTCTGCCTCTTAGTTCAAGGATAATTAACTACATGGGATGCTTCGAAGACTTATGTTTGTATTTGGTTACCTCTCTGTCTCTGTCTCTATTTTTGGTGGAAAGATATACTATATATATATATATAAAATATACTTTGGGGAAATAAAAAACATTTAAATATATATGTATACACACACATAGTATGTATGTATACATACATACTATAAGATTTGCCAATTTAGCCATTTGTAAGTGTGAAATTTGGTAATAATATTTATATTCACAATGCTGTTCTACCATCGCCACTATTTCCATAATTTTTCACCTCTCCAAATAGAAATTCTGAACCCAGTAAGCAATCACTCACATCCCCTGGCAATAACAAATCCGCTTTCTGCCTTTATGGATTTGACTACCCCAGATACCTTTTATAGGAGGAATCATTCAGTATTTGTCTTTTTGTGGCTGACTTAATTATAGACACCTCTGTTCTCTTCTCGGGACCACTTGCTTGGAATATCTTTTCCCATTCTTTCATGTTCAATCTATTTGTGTCTTTAATAAATCTAAAGTAAGTGTCTTTGTAGTTAGCATATAGTTGAATCATTTTTCAAAGTCCATTCTTTCAATCTCTGTCTTTTGTTTGGAAAGTTTAATCCATTTACATTTAAAGTAATTACTAGTAAAGGGTCCTTTACTTCTGTCATTTTGCTTTTTTTAAAAAAAATATTTATTTTTTAGGTGTAGATGGACACAACACAATGCCTTTATTTTTATGTGGTGCTGAGGATTGAACCCAGGTCCCACCCGTGCTAGGCGAGCGCTCTACCGCTGAGCCACAATCCCAGCCCCTCATTTTGCTTTTTCTTTTCTATATGCTTTAGAGCTTTTTGTCCCTTATTTCCTGCATTATAGTTTTCTTTTATGTTATTTGATTTTTTATTTTTGTCCCCAGTTATTTAGTTCCTTTAATGAGGTACCACCTCCCAGTAGCCCACTCAGCCATCAAAGGATTAATCCACAGACGAGATCAGAGGCTTCATGATCTAATCACTTCCCAAAATTGACTTTCAGGACATTCCAGATCCAAACTACAACAGTGTCCCAAAGCAAAACTAACAACTTTATACACAAATCTCTTAAATATGTAGAGGACTAAATGTGAAGTTACAAGCCAAAGTTACAAGAATATTAGCTGCTATTCTCTGGATGTTGAATGTTGCCCAAAGTGCAAGATGTTAAAGGGTTGGTCCCCAGGGTTGTGATTTTGGGAGGTTTGTGTAATTTTAGAAGGTAGGGCTTTATAAGAGATATTTAGGTTACTAGGAGTGTGTCCTTAAAGGGGACTATAGGATTTCCCCTCTTCCTCCCTCTCTTTCTGCTTCCTGGGTTATGATGCAAGCAGTTTGCTTTGGCACATGATCCTACCATGATATGCTGCCTTTACCAGAGACCCAAAGCAAAGGGGCACTTATTTTGAACTGAAATCTCCAGAACTGTGAGATCAAATCAACCTTTCCTTGCTGAAAGTTAATTGCCTCAAGAATTTCATTATAGTGATGAAAAACTGACTAATACATAATAATATTAATATTTAAAAATTAGTATTTTTAAGTCTCTTAAATAATGTAGAATGCAAAAAGTAAAGTTAAAATCAAAGTTAATATGATACTAACTTTTAAATTGTCCATGTATTTATCTATACTGGGATCTTTATCTCTTCATATGGTTTCAAGTTACTATCCCTTTCATTTCAGCTCAGAGAACTCTCAGTACTCAGAGTAGATTTAATGAACTTCCTTGTTAGAGTCTGTAAACAAGTCAGGATGGTGCCTGGCATTTTGCCAGAGGGAGTGGTTTGTGAAGTACCGCCAGCGAGCCATTAAGTGTGGAGATTCCTTATTGGTTGACTGCTGTATCTAGTTTATGTTAATTAAGCTGTGTGGAATGTATAAATACCCCTCCTGTCCTACAATAAACGGCTCCCACTCCTGCTGTATCAATGTACACAAGTTGTTCGTCACCCCCCCCCCCCACTAGTTTGCTGCAGCCGGACTGCGGCACTTCCTCAGATTTTTGTTTATTTGGGAATGTCTTAATTTCTGCTTCATTTTGGAGGTTTAGTTTTTCTGCATATAATCTTTTGTTTGTTTTTGTTTTTCTTTCAGCACTCTGTATATATCAGACCACTGCCTTCTGATCTCCAAATTTTCTGATGAAAATCTTATGACATTCCCTGCATGTAATGAGACACTTCTCTCATTGCTTTTAAGATTCTCTTATCTTTGTCGCTTACAGTTTAATTACAATCTTTTTTTTTTTTTTTTTGGTGTGGGCTTCTCTTGAGTTCATCCTACTTGGAGTTCAGTGAGGTTCTTGAATGTTTATGTTCATATTTTTTCATCAAATTTGGGTAGTTTGGGGCCATTACTTTCTTGAATAATATCTTTTTTCATCTTTGTCTCCCATCTCCTCCGGAGACTCCCATAATATGTATGTTGGTCTACTAGATGGAGGTCTCACAAATCCATTATACTCTCTGCTTTTCTTCAGTATTTTTCTATCTTTCTCAGCTTGAATAATTTCTATTGTTTGAACTTCAAGGTCACTGATTCTTTCTTCATTATGCCTTAAACTGCCTTTGAATCCCTGAAGTTTTCACTTCGATTATCTTCTTTTCAGCTCCAAACTTTTTGTTTATTTTTAGGCTTTCTTTCTCTTTATTGCTATTATCATTTTGCTCATACTTTATTTCTTTGACTTTCTCCACATCTTCCTTAGTTCATTGAGCATCATTAAGATTGTCATTTTAAAGTCTTTGTCTAATAAAGCCTTTATCAGGTCTTTTTTCAGGGACAGTTTCTGTTGTTTTATTTTTCCTTTGACTATGACATATTTTCCTGTTTCTTTGTATGTCTTGTGACCTTTATTTTACTGTTGTTGAAAACTGTATATTCAAATCTAGGAATGTAACAATTTTGGAGATTAGAGCTTTCCCTTCTTCAGGTTTACTAATTTTTAATTTTGATTTTAGATACTGTAGACCATATCCATGGTGGTGGTCACAAGCACAAGGTCTCCTCAGGTCTTTTATAAGCCTGTGCCTTTTCCTGAGCATGTGCTGTGACTTTCTAAAATACCTGCATATATGTGGTAGCTTTTATTTTTTTCTTGGAATCCATTCTACTGCTAAGCTGTTGCCTCAACCCTATGTGATTGCTTTTAAATGTTTCATATTCTCTAGATGTTTGCCTCCTGTAAGGGGGAAGGAGAAAATGAATGGGAGTGGGAGGGAGGCAGAAAAAAATAAGACAAAAATTTTGCTGGCCTGTTGGCTACTCTGGAAGTTACCTTGGTCAATGGGGAAGGGGCCTGAAACAGTGAGAAGAGGTGCAATAATAGTTCCTCCACCATATGTCCTCACTTCCAAGAAGCAGCAACCTGTAATAAGGAGATAGATCCCCAAGTTTTTGGAGGACAGATTCATTTTTTGTTCATCCTAGCTCCCATGACCTGCCTGCAAGTTACTGCTGAGTAGCTACTACCCATAATAGAAGCTGTGAGCTGAAATTAAAATTTATCACAATTTTTCATTCAATCCTTTCCCTGGAAGTTGTAATCCTTCTAGAAGATTCCAGCATTCAAAAGTAGTTAAGTCAGAGAGATTCTTCCAGTGTAATTATTTTCTAGATGGGGATACAGATTCCTGGTGTTTCCTATTCCACCATCTTCCCCCCAACTCCTGATCATCCTTTCTTGACCACTGACTTTGCTAAATGACTTGATAACCTCAGTTTTCTAATAATGAACAATTTGTACTCATGTTTTATAAATTATTTAAGATCTATATTTTTGCTGACATGCATTTAGCACTCAGGTACAGTAATAAAAATTAATAATAGCCCAACAGTAGCAAAAACATGAACTAGTTATGAAAACAATAGTATTGGGTATTTCATACTAAATGAGCTGCTACCAATACATAGTGTTCCTATTAGCACTTGTCAAAACAAGGAACTAAATATCTGTCAGTGAGTTATGAATTATTCCATATCTACAGGGTGCAGCTTGTGTATTATATTAGAAAAAAAGGAACAGAAATGTGCTCAGTGGAGGAAGGAGAGGTGGCTGAGAGGGATGTCAGAGGACATTATGCTTGGGCAATAGGCACCTTCTAAAGTGGAAAAATCACAATTTAATCAGATCTCATTATAATAAGAGCCAGTAGAGCTGCTGGAGTCTAGGACTAGGTCTGTCGTTAACTAATTATGTGAACTGGGCAAGTCAATTTCCCTCCCTGACCCTCCATTTTCATATTTGTAGACTTGTTTTAGGAGGAGAGGATAAGAGCTTTGTTTCAATCTCTAATGTCTTTTACAAGTAAAATATTTAATGAGTTCATGACTCTAGACCTCCACTGTCTTAATAGAGTAGTAATTAGAGGACATGTGGCTATTTAACTTCGACAAAATGAAAATTTAAGTTCCTTGGGTACACTAGTCACATTTCAAAAGCTCAGTAGCCAGACTGAGCTGGACAACACACAGAGAAAAAATTTCCAACATAATAGAAAGTTTAATTGGCCATCCCCGGTTTAGATCTTTCTTCAAAAAGACCCTTGAGAAGTCTAATGTGAATATCATTTAAGTTCTTATGCAATATTGTTGATTTTATTCTAAAAGTAACAATTGCTCTTATGGATACTACTGAGAGGTGACGTCTATTGAGCATGATTGCCTGTGAGAATTTTTTAAAGGCCATTTTGACTTAATCCTCACAACCAGTCTATGAGATCGGAATGGCACTATGCCCATCTTATAAAGGAGGGAAGCAAGATTCATAGTGTCTGAGTTGTTCAGAGCCACACCATAGAAGTGGCAGAACTAGGGATTGAGCCCACGTGACTGTCCTAATCCAGATCCCACACGTTTTACTCTGGCCCCCGGCTTGGTCTCTGATCCCACTGTCTTATGGTCATGGCTTACAAGTTCCTCACAATACCCCTTGTGGATATTGATCCTGTATACATGTTTTCTTTAGAATGCACACCCTATTCTCCTTTTCTTTGCTTGTCAACTTCTTATTTATCCTGTAAAAACTGACTATCTTCTCTATCAGGCAAAATAGTTACCTAGTCTGTTTTGGGGCTTCTGCCACACTCCACTCACACCTCAAATACAAAGCCTACTAGAATGCATTATGGTATCTGTTTACAGGTCTAGTCTTCTATCAGACTGTTTTCTTCAAGATGAAGCAAGTGCCTAATTTGTGTGTGTGTGTGTGTGTGTGTGTCTATCCCCAGTTCGTAGAAGGTTCTGAGTCAATGAAAGCACAATGGAATATTACTCAGCAATAAAAGAGAATAAAATCATGGAATTTGCAGGTAAATGGATGGAGTTGGAGAAGATAATGCTAACTGAAGTTATCCAATCCCCAAAAAACAAACGCTGAATGTTTTCTCTGATATAAGGAGTCTGATTCATAGTGGGTTTGGGAGAGGGAGCATGGGAGGATTAAAGGAACTCTAGATAGGGCAGAGGGGTGGGAGGGGAAGGGAAGGGGCAGGGGGTTAGCAATGATGGTGGAATGTGATAGTCATCATTATCCAAAATACATATATGAAGACATGAATTGGTGTGAACATACTTTATATACAAAAATTGTGCTCTATATGTGTAATAAGAATTATAATGCATTCCACTGTCATGTAATTAAAAAATAAAAATCAATTAAAAAATATTTTTCTAAGATGAAGAGTCATCACTCTTTGCAACCACTAGAGCTCATCAATATGCTTTCTATTGTTCTTGGAATGCCCACTTTAGATTCCATTCATTACCTGCAAGCAGAGGGCTCCAGTACCTTTAAGAGCAAAGTAAAACAAACAACAACAATAAACAAAATATTTCTCAGATGAAATAGTTCTTCCTAAGCATCTCTCCAAGCAGTCTATCACCTCCTACTGCTGCCTACTTCTACCAATGCTGGTGACCTTCTGTCCTCATTTTCTACCATGCACCAGGCTTTGACAACACTCTACGCTACCTGCCTACAAAGACAGGGACTACTTGGAAATACACAGTTCTGCTGTCTTGCTTCCACTCCTCCCTAGAGCAACTGGACTGCAGCTGATTAATATAAATGCTATTTGCAGAGAGAGACTTGGGTGCACAGTTAAAAGACACCTGGCAGTCCCACACATTCTCCCAGGGAACAGCACCACCCTATTCTCCACCCTTCTCTTTGCAGCTCTTCACCCCAAACAGATAACGAAAGAACAAAATGTTACTCTGGCTTTCCCTGTCCTCAAGAATCATGGAGGCACTACTATTTTGAGCTATCTTTGTGCTTCTGCATTTTAGAGAAAGCTGAGGTAGGCTCAAATTTTAAAACAAAACAAAAACTCTCATCAACCTAGCAGACAAATCAAACAGCAAAATCAGAGCTATTACCAGAACAAAATGTAGGAAGAAAAATACCATTTATCAAAGATGCCCTGCATATCAGAATTATTCTGGGTAAATTAATCTCCTGTAATCCTATAATTCTAAAAGGTATGCTTAATCATCTCATTTTACAGATGGAGATACTGAAGCCCAGAAAATACCACTGAAAAATAGAACAAGCATGGACTTCATGGAAGAGAGATCTGAGTTCAGATTTGGGAGCCACTAGCTCTACTCGTAAGCTGCTAGGCAGGAGCTCTTAGGAGCAAGTAGTTGTACTTGCTGGTAGTGGGCTGTGTGTGTGGATGCGGGGGGCTGGTGCTCCTTGAAATGGCTGTTAACATTCCTTCAGTTTTTTTGTTTATTTGTTTGTTTGTTTTGTTTTTTAATTTCAGATAAGTCTCTCCAGAAAGAAGTAGCTAAAATCACACTTTGGAGTGAACTAGAGTAAGCTTTGCTCATTATAATCTCATTTTAATGCTAAATTCTCTGCCCAGGAACCATTCCGGTCCACCATTTCTGAACAAGCAATGAATGAAGAAGAACTGAGCAAGCTCAGGAGTGTGTCCATATCTGCATGTGAGGATGAATCTTTCTAGTATGAATATGTATGAGTCACCCCTCCTTGTTTCTTTGTTCAGGGAGACTTTGTTTTGGGAGTGCTTTTGTTACTTGTTCTAGTAATAAATTTCTCTTCATTCTTTATTTCCTGGTTGTGTTTATTGGTTTACCCTTACCAAAGGGTGGACCTGTTGTGTTTGGTTGTTAGAGTCTGTAAACAAGTCAAGATGGTGCCTGGCATTTTGCAGAGGGAGTGGTTTGTGAAGTAACGCCAGCGAGCCATTAAGTGTGGAGATTCCTTATTGGTTGACTGCTGTATCTAGTTTATGTTAATTAATATAAGCTGTGTGTAATGTATAGATATATATACCCCTCTGGTCCTACAATAAACGGCTCCCACTCCAGCTGTATCAATCTACATAAGTTGCTCGTCACCCCCCGGTTATTTTGCTGCAGCCGGACTGCGGCATTTGGTTATAGCTTTGGACAAATTTTGAGCCTCATTAAATCTGTTTTGAAACTTAGAAATAGTAACAAATAATACCAACCTTCCAGGGCTTTTGTAGAGTCAAATATGAAAATGTCTGCAAAGTATCTAATATAAATGGTTGGCATCTTATTAGATTTAATAAATATTGGTTTCCTCTTACCTGTCTGTTACATATCAGAGTTATAATTCAAAAGCAGTGTCATGTACTCCCAAATCTAAGTTCTTTGCAGATTTGTAATAAGGACTTGTCTAAGCTGCTCCTCCATCACCGTGGTGATACAATCATACTGGCTGAAATTGAATGATTCCTTTATACTGGCAAACCACTATCTGTTATTTCATGTATCTATGCCCAGATATAAATCTCTTAGAAGTCAAACTCAAAATGCATAAATCATGCATTTCCCAGTGTACTTTAATGTACCTCGAGGCCAGACTGATCATAAAAACATCTTGCCAGACAATGTCATAGACCTATTTGGGAAAAAGGCTTGAAGTTGGCAAAATAATAGTGATGATGATGATGATGATGATGATGATAATTACTGTGCTCCAGCTTCTATGGCATTTGCAAAAAGCCAGTAAGATAGAGGGAGTAGCAATAGCTTTACTCGTCCTAAATCTTTTTTGCCATCCTCTTGTTTTGAATCAGGCTGCATTTTCTTCTGGAAAGAGAAAAGTGCAAGTCCACAATAAATATTCTTATAAAAAGTTGTAGGCTGCATTTCCAGCTGGGAGAGATTTCATTCTCAGTAGTTTTCTTGCTGGTCATAGGTATATTGTCTTTTGTTTGCTTGATATGGAGAAAGATTCCATACTTTAAAAAAAGTTTTCACCTTAGACTCTAGAGAATGCACTGTTTGTCTTACTATGGAATTTCTTTTGCAGATAGCTCTCACTGCAATACTTGAACCTAAAAAATGGTCTCAACAGGCAACATACCTCCCAGCCTGTGCACCCTTCCCCTATGCCTAATGTCCCAGAAACACTGTAGAGATAGTTGAGATGCGATGAACAAGTGCAAACTTGTAGTTATGGAGTCATCATTGAGTTCTAGTTCTGCCCTTTAATCTCTGACTGTGTATATGTCACCATAATTTGATGTCTCAATTTTTCTCATCTCTGCAATGGGAACATTAGCTGACTGCCAAAAGCTTTTGAGGACTGAATACCATGCTGCATCTAAAGCTTCTGAGGAAGCCACGGGTGTTCCATGAAAACAACAACAACAAAGACGTAATTAGAATCTAAAGAACAGGAACCTGAAGAACTCTATTCTCTGAGTATTATTTTCAATTAAAATTCAAACTTGCCAGTAGTCTTATTTCTTTGGATCAGTTCTTAGGGCGCCTAACCCTTAGAGGCCTCTGCTAATATAAATGGCTTCCAAAATACTAAGTTTTGTGAATTAAATTGCCTTTATTATAATCTACATAATGGACTGTAATGGAAAGCACACCAGACCAAGAAGCCAAAACACCCTGACTGCCTGCCATGCCCAGGGACACACCTCAGAGACTTTCTATGCTCCATTTCCTCATTTGTAACTTGAGAGGTCATTCTCTGCCTTCAAAGGTGACCTGAGGGCAAGATGAATGCATGTAAGAGCAACCTGTACAGGGAGCTACCGCACTGATTCAAGATTATTCAAGTACCAGAACATCCAGGGAGGCTTATGAATTTTCAAAGAAGGCCTAAATCATTTAATAGTCAAATTTAATCACAAATGGATGTTAGATGGTCTTAACCTACTGGGAGCACAGATCTCAGGTATTAAAGAAAATCCATGGATCTTCTCCCAAGGGGGAAAAACAATGCACATAAGTACATAAACATGATGTTTGATACAATTTCAGGAAATTCACAGACTTCCTGATACTCCTTGCTAGGTCACAGAAGGAACTTATCAGTGATCTTACCACAATGATTAAATATAGTTTTAAACTAGGTTTTATTTCCCATTTTCAAAATCTGCAACTTACATTATATAGAATAAGTAGTTATTTGGAATACTTCAGGTACCAGAATATTTCCATTTTCCATAATATAAACTGAATTTGTACACAAAATGATGCTGTTTAGCAAGAAAGTAGATTTAATTAATCTAGTGCTCCTCTGAAAACCACACTGTCCAAGGCTATTAAGGAAAATTTATCCATGTAGCATATATCTCAATTCTCAGATAAATTTTTTTGTTTAACAGTTAACAGAGTCTTCTGAATTTACATGGCTCCTAACTAGTTGCCTATGTTCTGGCAAATTCATTGTCACAAGAAAAACTAAGTGTTACTTAGGTCTGATGCTAAGGGAAAAAAGATGCATTTTTATCAAAATGAAATGAAGGAATTGCTTATCTGTATAAGCACACAGGAACCTGGATGATGAGGGACATCATTGCCATTACAGACGGGTTTTAGGACTTACTACCTTTCCTCTGTCATCACCACTAGGGGAAACTGCTCTCCTGCAGGGCAGCATTGGTGGGTGTCTTCTGACCATGACACTAGAAGGCACCATCAGCACCACAAAGTGAAAAGAAAGCGAGCAGGTAGAGGCACTGAGTGTACCGCAAGGTTGGAGCTACACATTGTGCTCTGTGTAATTTCAAAACACTAGCAGCATGTTTTTGTTTGGCATTATGAGTGGAACACAGGTCAAATTTATGTTGTTAAAAACCTTGTAGTTAATGCTCAGCAAAGAAAAACAGGCACACTTCCAAATATAAGCTGCCACTGCTGGAAAAGATTGACCAGAATAGATCCAGCTTAAGAAAGAACATAAACAATGACACTTTCACTAGCAAGTGAAGTGTCAAATGGCACATGCCAAACAACCATTCCCCTTCTGTTCCAGAGTTCTGTGCCTTCCCACTGTCCTAACATCCAAGTCAAGGAGAAATCAAATCTTGCCTCAGAACTCCTGACCCTTCACACATCATCTCAGAAGGCTTTTGGTTCTCCCTGGGAAGTTCCTGCTTCAATAGGAAATGTTCTTTTCCCACTAGTCTCGAGAATTTCTCATGATGCTGAGCCTTAGAGCTTCAGAGGATTACATTTCAGATTCACTCTCAGTTTTGGATTCACGTTCATGTCAAGTCTCAAGCTACAACCCATGCCACCCTGAAGGAGGTGGCCAGGCCAGCCACAGGAGCAACCCGGGCTGCCAAGAGAGACAGCTGCTCCGCCAGACGTGACCCACTTCCCTCCCTGTCCTGTCCAGCCCTTTGGGATGGGCCCAGCTGGTCCTCGGCTTCCCTCAGTCAGGTATCTCTGGAGAGGCCAAGGGGTTCTCAGATGTCAGTGGCAGCGGGGATTGCTTTTCAAACTTTAATGTTTCTTCCCACTTCTTTCATTCTGGAAGAATTATCATAAAGTACAATCTTCCATGGAAATGTTTGCTCATCCTAAGCATGTGCCCTGAACCAGATATACGAGCTGGTTGACTTGCTCACCCCTTACATAACCTCAGATTTCCCGATTAACTTCTTTAATCGTAATTGTTTTAGGAGGAAAAAAAGAAAGAAAGAAACAACCCTCAAAGCCTCTAAAACTCTTTATTCCTGGTCTCCTGGGCACCAACTTTGGGTCCCAGGCTGCTTTACCACATTGCTTTGGCAACACAATGACTCTCCCTGGGATTTTAAAATATAATGAAGCCGACTTTTTATCTCAGCATGAACTCAGTTCTCTTCAAGGAGCTTTGTTTATAGTATCAGAGCTTTAAATTGTTTTATCTTTTGCAGAATAATTCAAATAAGTAAAGGTTTAGACAGCAGACCTCTCACTTTGTTTTTAGAATATTTCTCTTACCTATATAAGCAAACTCTCTAAGTAATGAAGCCTCCTATGAGTGACATTATATTTTTTAGAGTTTCAAATGCTGATTTTCACTCTGACTTAAAAGAAAATCTAAGAGAACATCAAATAGACAGCTACAGAACCAAAAAAAAAAAAAAATGCTCATGTTCACCTAATACACATCTTAGTTATTCAATCAGAAGAAACTGATGGATATCATTATGGCTCTTAAATATATAAAATATTCCACATGTTTTGGGGGAGGAAAATAAATTTTTTATAGTATCGAAAATGTCTGAATCCATTATATATTAATATTCCCTTAAAAATTCTAATGTAAACTTGATGTCTCCATTTTAAAATTCTTCTAATTATTTTAGTAAGGTGGGAAAAAATGCATTCTACTCATCACACACACACACACACACACACACACACACACACTTCACACCAGCAAACAGAAAGCCACTGTTCTAGAATGTCACAATATATACATTTTGTCACAATGAAAGATTATGGATTATGTTCCCTCATCTAATAATACATTACATAGGACAATAGTAACAAAAAGATCCTTTTTTAAAAGTGGATCCTTCCCCATACCAACAGAGGAAATGTTCCGTTTCTATATTGCTACTACCTAAACTAAAACAGAGAAGAGGGCTAGTTTCATTGCCTATATCTTTAAACTTTACCATATTCTATACACTTCCTAATTCAATGCAGGCACAGTTTTGTTTTTGTTTGTTTTTTTGGTACTGGTGTGATTGAACCCAGGGGCCCTTAACCATTGGGTCACATTCCTGGCCCTTTTTAGTTTTTATTTTGAGGCAAGGTCACACTAAGTTACTTAGGGC